ATAGACTGTCCGAAAATTTTTTTGAAGACCTATTCGGAAGTACCCGTGATTAAATTATTAATGAATTTCAACATTAAGTATTTACAAGAACCTCCAATATCTAAGAATACAGTGTGATACATGGTCATATTTTTTTAGGGGTGATTCACAAGTCGTGACCAAAAATTAAACATTATACTGAGGACCGAATTTTAAGGGAGGGGGGGGGGCGGTTCAAAATGTACTGTGTCTGCACCCGGCGAAATTTTTGTGAGTGGTTACCGCAAATGCATAATCAAAATGCAGATTTTATTGCTTTGATTTTGTGGTCACATGAATCGCTTTTTACGAGGAGTGGAACCTTCAATTCTCATAATGAACATATTTGGTCGTTAGAAATTCCCGGTTCTGTAAGAATCCACTCGTTTCTACACAGAACTTCTAGAAAAGTCTGGTGCGGCATTTTCAATGGCCAACTGTTTATGCACGTGTTGCCACAAAGTTTAAATGCAAACTCATGCTTAACTTTTCTAGAGAATTACATAGAAAATGTGTTAGATGACGTTCCGTTAGGAATGAGAGTACGAATGTGGTATAAGCATGACGGTGCCCCACAGCATTTTCGTCGTGACATAACCGCATAGTTAAATAATCTAGGCTAGGCAGCAGCGGTGGCCGCAGTAGTAGACTCTTCGGTCTCCTGATCAGTCGCCGTGCGCTGTGCGGGTTCGAGTCCCATCCCAGGAGAAATTTTTCCCTTGGCTATGGATGTTGTGATTGTTCGTAGGTGGTAGACGGTCTCTGACTGTCGAACGTGGAGGTACCACCCGGCGGATCTCGTAGGCGGAGCCAGAATGTGTGCATGTTGCATGCACACGTGTTCCCTCGCCAGAGTCCGTGTGGCGTTCCCCCTTTCCTCTGTTTCCCCCTATAGCCCCACGGTACCCAATGGGTGTTTAGGCATTAGGCCTTCGTGGTAGTTGGAGTATAAAAAAAAATCATTTTAGACAAAGAGGGATTGGCAGAAACGGACACGTACATTGGCCTGCGAGGTCTCCGGATTTGAACCCCCTGAATATCTTTTTGTGGGGCGCATTTAAACAACTAGTGTATGCTGAACAAATTAATTCTGTTGATCAGTTACAAAAAAGAATAGGTAATGCGTTTCATCAAATTCAAGCCACACAGCAAATTTTGCGGAAATACGTTTTTCTTTATTAAAAAGATGCCGAACTTGCATCTGTCAGAATGGTGGTGTTTTTAAACATTTATTGGAATAAAGATTTGATTATCTAAATTGTTTTTTTTATTTTTACGAAAACAGTGCACTGTAGGGAAAAATACAAGAGTAATTATTTGAAGCAATTTGAAAATCGAGTTCGAAAAATTGCGCGTTTCGAAAAAAAAGTGTTTTACTATTTTATTAATAATGCCACTAGTCCCGTGTATCTCCGCCAGTGGTGCACGTTGATTTTAAGCAAAGACTTTTGTTGAATGTGGACAATACTTAGGTAAATTCACACATCAAATTTAAGTTTATTCTAGTTGACGGTTTTGAAGATACTAAAAAAATTGTTTTCATTTTTAAACTTCAATACTCCTCGAGGAAAAAATGTTACATAGAAGACCCGCCTTAAAATGCGGTCCTGTGTGTATCATTTTTGGTCGCGACTTGTAAATCACCCTGTATAAGGCGACAACATGAAATCTGAATCAGTTGGAGTCCGCGAATTGAAGCTTGATTTAAGTAAGGATAGTAAACTTGAAAATTTCATCAAAATCCCAGCAGCACTTTCAAAGTTATTGACGCATTAGCGGACAGACAGACAGACTGACCAACGAAGATGAGTAATATGGTTTTTCGTGATATACACGTTATATAAACAAATAAAATCTCACTTTCGAAAATTTTCGCGATTACAATACTTCCCCGCCAGCGGGCGTGAGAAGCGAAAATAGCGGGATGTAACTGTATCTGTAACTTTGGCAAAACAAAAAAAAACTTCACCTCGGGTATTTTCGTCGACGTTCCCGCATACTTCGGCGTATAAAAGCGATTCGACCGCGCAACGGTGCTTCATAATAATGATAAATGCGTTTTGGCAAAAGTGTCCGAAGCGCTGCTCTCGTAAGTAATGGAGCCGGCGCATACCTGAATATTTTCCGCGGCTGGAGTCGGTACGCGATACGCTGACTGGTTGAGTGGATTGCATCCTGGAATGCTCAGGTATTTTGGCAAACGTTCAAGCATCCGACCGAACAGACCAAACACTTCTCTCGCGATGCCGCTCTGGAGAGGTATTTGGCACGGCTGGACGCGCCAGGATATCGTGTGGCTCAAACTTGAACAACAGAATGAAGGGAGCGCGTAACATAAGGAAGATGCAATAGTTTTGTTGTTACATTTTTTCAGGCCGATATTTGCGCCAGAAGAACCCTACAGGGTAACTTCGAAGTTGGGTCATTTATTTTAACAGTGTGTAGATCTGATCAAAAGAAATGTTTTTTTCCTAAAAATAAAGTAACAAAGTTATAGCCCTTTAGACGTTTGAGTACCGCCCTGTCTCAATAATAATATTATGTGCTCGTGTTTGGCAACAAAGGATATAATCCGCCTTATCGGTTCATCGCATCGGAAACAAAAAAGCGAAAGAATTTGAAACGTTTATCACGATGTTTTTACTACAATTTTATTCAGTTGTATTCAGTCAATGTGTCAGTCGGTAACGCGTGAGTGAATAGTGGTGTTTGTTGCATGGCTCAAACGAAATAAAAAATGGCACATGTTTACGAAAATGCTGAACTTGTGGACATGATTCTTATTTACGGGGGGGAGTCTTTACAAAATGCTGCCGCGGCATCACGGATTTATGCGGATCGGTTTCCGAATCGAGTGCAACCAACCCCTCGTGCCTTTGTTAATGTAGTACAAAGGGCTCGTGAATCAGGTGACATAAGACCTCACAGGGGAGGGCATGCCGGTGCTCCAAGACCGCACGATCAAATACAGGTCCGCACTGAAATACTTGTCGGGAGGATACTTTATAAAATAAGGTAACATTTTTTTTATTTTTACACAAATATTTTGGTTCATCTTCCTTCTACAATCATTATCTGAAAATTAATGGCTCAACTTCAAAGTCACCCTGTAGATGCTCCGGCTATTCTTTTTAATCTCATATTTCTCATTGATCAGATCTACTGATTGTTAAAATAAATGACTCAACTTCGAAGTCACCCTGTATAAATAGGATAGATTATGTTCAAATAAAAGTTTCTTAAATATCTAGCTTTTAAGTGCGATAGAGTCTACGCTCAACCTGGGTCGGACTATCAAATTCTGTTAGACAGATTCAAAATGACGTTTTTGAATGTGAGAAGGAAGCACAGTTGTTATTTTTTTGTTTAAACTCTTGCATGGAACCATAGTTTCTTCGGAATTGTTATCACAACTACAGTTTTTAACGCCAAGATCCGTTTCAAGATGTAATGTTACTTTCTTTTGCAGTCGTGTTAGCACAAATTTGATTTTGAAATCACCTGAAAGGGTTATGTGTTTTAATTATAATAGTATTTGTAAGTTTTGTGAAATATTCTTATGTTCTATTTCGGAGCTGAAATGTGTTCTGCAGGAGCGTCTTAGATAGTTTTATAAGCTAGGCTTTTGTAATATTTCTAATTTAAGATTTTGGCCTATAAATGGAATATTATCTGTTGGGCAATAAAAGCTATAAAATAAAATAAATGCCAGCGCACCGCGGCTGCTATGAGGAGCTCAAAGAAACTTTGTTAATCCGATTCCTGAACTGCCTACGGATAGAAGAGCATGTAGATTGTTTCACGATCACGTCACTTTACGCACAAAGGAGCGGTCGTATCGGTCAGTTCTGGATGTACAAAGATCGACACGGTTAGGATGGGAAACCGACGTCAGTCGGCTCTGATTGCAACCAAATGAAAAACGTGGATCAAAAGGGTGAGCACGGGGAATTTTTGTTATCTCATTGGAATATAGTACAAATACATTTTAAAACTGTATTGTTGTGTAATATGTATTCACTGTTTTTCATCTGTTTAATTTAAAAAAATGGCATTTATACTTCTGACTAATTTATGAATTTAATTTTGAGTTTTGAGGCAATCTAAGGCGATCCGAGGTAAATGAAGCAGATCCGATGGTATCTAGGGTTTGCTCTCCTGGTCCGAGAACATCTGAAAATCCAAGATGTATTTTTATTCCACTGGTAGGAGATCCGAGGCAATCCAAGGAGGATTCCAGACAATTCGTGTATTTGCACATTATTCACAGGAGGCGTGTCCTAATTAATCCATTTGATGCTTGCAAGCTCACTATGATGAGCTTTGTATAAACATAGCGGTGTAATAAATCAGAATAAAAATATAGGTATAATTGTTTTGAGTGAGACCTGGAATATCAGTAATATCGACAGTTATAAAATGAATGGCTTCCAAATTTACTACGAGTATAATGAAGCCAAGTATAATAAATGCGATGGGGTTTGTATGTATGTAAGAGATGACATTTCGGCAAATGTTTCCATAAAAATGATAGATGTAGTGACGGCATTGAATTGTAGCTTTATTTTCAACAATAACAGTTTCAGTATTACTGGTATCTACAGGCCTAATCCCACGAATGTACAGGATTTTGTAAACAATTTGGATTCGTATTTGAGAAGTACTGCAAACTGTGACATTTCGTTGTTGGTGGGTGATATAAATATAGACTTATTGAGAGAACATGAATACAGCAATTTAAGATACGTGAATATGTTACAACAGAACGGGTACATATCTCAGATTAATACACCTACTAGGGTAGATTCTAACTCATCTACGATTATCGACCACTTATTTTTGAAGACAAACAGATTTAAGGTCTCTGAAACAGCAATTGAGTGTAAACCAATACTTTTGGAAAATTGTATGACCGATCATTATCCTGTTTTGTTCAATTTTGGGTATTTGAAAGGAAGTAATTGTATCATTAATAAAAACAGCTATGAATTTAAGAAAATTGATGTGAAAAAGTTGACAGATTATTTGCAAGTGGTGACTTGGGACAGTGTTTTTTCAGAGAGTGATGTCCAAAAAGCAACTGATAACTTCTATAATGAATTATATAAAGGCATAGATCATTCATCGTATTATTTAAAAATAAATAGTAAGACTAGAAAACGCAAGCCGTGGATGACTGACGGTATTCTTACTTCGATCAAGAAGAGGGATGAGTTGAAACAGAGTTTGACGAAAGATAATGATAATTTGATACTGAGACAGTCCTATATCTCCTACAGAAACAGAGTAACTAATCTTCTTAAGATCTCTAAAAATCAATATTATACACAAAAACTCATTTTAGCTGGTAATAACTATAGGAAGAGCTGGGATGTTATTAATGAGGTAACTAATGCTGGCAAAATAAAAAAAAATGACGTAAAATCAATTAATCACAATAATCAGCAGCTGGACGCTCCCACTGATATAGCCTGTGTTTTTAATAAATATTTTGTTGATATAGGTGAGCAAATAACAAGTCAAATTGATCAATACTCAATTCTTGATTCATCAGATCCTCATGTCGTCAACATTGATCACTCTATGTTTCTAACTCCAGTGGATAACATAGAGCTACAACAAATAGTTTGTAATCTGAAAAATAATAGCGCACCCGGAAAAGATGGCTTGCACACTAAAACTATCAAGATGATCATGAAGTATATCAGTCACCCTATAACTCACATTATCAACCTCAGATTCAAATCCTCAGTAATTCCTCGCCAATTTAAAGAAAGCATAGTGTTACCAATATTTAAATCTGGAAGTAAAGACAATATGTTCAATTATAGACCTATTTCAGTTATCAATGTATTTGGGAAGATTTTTGAGAAGTGTTTAAATAACAGACTTTGTTCTTTTCTTGAGAAATATGACATAATATCGAACTGTCAATTTGGGTTCCATAAAAATTGCAATACAGAGCAATCTCTACAAGAACTTACAGGACAAGTGCTTGAAAATTTTCAAGATGGAAATAAGACTGTTGTAGTTTTCCTAGATCTTCAAAAGGCTTTCGATTCAGTATCTCACGCAATTTTATTAAAGAAACTAGAAAGTGTTGGAGTGCGTAGCGGAGTTCTGAACTTATTTGAGAACTATTTGGCTGATCGTTTACAACAAGTTAAGGTAGGGCCAGATTTAAGCAACATTCAAAAGATCAAAATAGGTGTGCCTCAGGGGACGGTTTTGGGACCAACACTGTTCCTCATATACATAAATGAACTACTTCGATGTAATTTCAACTGTAAAATGATATCATATGCAGACGATACTGATTTAGTTTGCACTGGTCATTCATGGGATGACGCAATACGGAATGCCGAGTAACTAAGTATGTAACGTTTTCTCCAACCAAAGCAGGCATGCCATTACACCACCGAACATTAATTATAAATGATAGTGCTGACACTGTCGAAAGAGTTGAAGTTATTAGATACTTAGGAATCACTATTGACAGTAATTTAAAATGGCAGAGTCATGCCGAGCTTTTGGCATCGAAATTAAGGAGAATTATTCATAAGTTTTTCATTCTTAGGAATATTTTAAGCAGAAAGAGTCTTCTCTCAATATATAACTCGTTCGTGGGGTCTCTACTAACTTACGGGATAAGTATTTGGGGAGCCGCATACACTAGTACTTTAAAAATACTACAAACCACGCAAAATTATATTGTCAGGACTATTTTTCGTATCCCATGTAGGTCAAGTTGCAGATTTGTTTACATTGAAAATGATCTTTTGAATGTTTGATGTTTATATATTTTTGCTGCTCTAAAATTTGTTCACTCCCGAAACAATGTTCCAAGCAGCCACGCTTATGAAACAAGAACTAAAATAAATATAAGTTACACCTATACCAGAGTGAATAAATCTGTTTGTCAAAAATGCATAAAGTTTGATGGTATTAGGTTGTATAATAAATTACCCCTAGAATATAAAATCCTCTCGAAGTATAGTTTCAAAAAAGAATTAAGAAGTTAATCTTAAATAACTTTGACATGCTTGCATCGACGGTAGCTTGACTCAACTCAGTAATTTCGTTTCTATCTAATGTTTTTTTTATTTCTTTTTTTTATATACATTTGCTCATAATATACCTTATAACCATTAGCCATGCATTGAATTTGTATATTGTATGACACACACAAGCTTATAGGTTAGGTGTCTATTCTTTTGTAGTAAATTGTAGTACTCTTGTTTCTCGGCTTAACCTTTACGCAAAATTTTTTTTGTTTAAACAACATAGTTTGACCTTACTCGAAATATCCCTATATTATCATATTTCAGATATTCATATTTTATGTACTCTATATTTATACTTCTGAGTGTTTTTAGTATGCTTCTGTACTATTGTTATGAATTTTAGATTTGTTTATGCAGACATGTAATTTAGGATTTGTGACGAAAAGATTCAGACATTTACCCTTTACGAAAGTATACAGAATTTTCACAATTCATATACCGTTACTTGCTGGTTCTAGATCTGATGCTAGTATCTTTGCTCAGATTTCTGTTGCAATCTTGGTTATTCAGGGTAGCAAGAGTATGCAAGCTCATGTATTTTTGAAGCTTTTTTTTTATTTAAATTGTACTGAAGGTTGTTTTTTAATTTGTAAGTTATTGTGGTTTTTGAATTTGAATAAACTTTGAACTTTGAACTTTGATTCTTCGGTAGATTTTATCTAGTGGAAATACAAAGAAATCCTAGAAAATGTGAGGAAATATCCAACAAGGTATTCATGCCGCACTTAAAGCACTTGACTCCACCTACTCGACATCGAAATTAGTGTGGAATTGCAAAAAAACTCTCGGTGGCATAGGGGAGGGAAATGAAGTCCGTCTCATATGGATACGAGAACACATAGGTCTAGAGGAGAACGAGACAGCTGACACTCTGACAAAGAGTGGGGCTACCACACTCTTCACAGGGCCAGAGTCAGCGATTGGGATCGCATAAAAAAAAGATCCACCAATACTGGAAGGGATTAGCAGGGTTAACCCATGCTAAGACAACTATACCAATCTTGACAAAGAAGGTAACAGACTCCGACTGATCACAAATAGCCTCAAAGCTCTAGTAGGACTGTACACTGGTCATTGCAAATTGCGTCACCACATGAGCGGGCTGGCCATGGCGGAAGACGCTGAGTGCAGATTGTGCATGGAGGGAGATGAAAGGGTCAGACATGTATTGAGCAGATGCCCTGCAATTGCCAGCATCAGGTACAACATACTTGGAGACGTAGTATTCCAAGCAGAAGTCCTGGATGATATTTTTCCAAACAAGTAGATCGACTTCTTCAGGAGGTTAATGGGCGAAATATAAATAGGTGTGAGCCACAACAGACCAGAGAGTCGCAGTGGAAGATTGTTATTGATGCAATTACAAGTAATCTAACCTAACCTATCCAACAAGGTCAAACGAAATATGAATGGAAGAGATATCTTCTGATCCAAAAAAGTGTCGGTGGTAAGCTCCTCTTTGTGAAGCTTCGGCTCATTAGATATAGTCACACTTACAGACGTTCCTTGAGGCTTGTGGAAAGACCTCTCTATGGGAACAATGAAACAATGACCCTTAACTGAGGAACGTTCAAGGGAGGATATAACTTTTACATTTCACAGTAGGCTGTAACAGATCATCAAAGGCTGCCATCAATATCAGAAAGATATTTCTTTGCTAATGGCATGATTTCTTTGTGCTAAATGTTACTGTACTGCATCAAACTACTCTAATGGTTTTTGAGCACGTTTTGAAATAAACATATTTTATAACCTCAAATTTCAATCGACTGGACGGCTTATAGTGTGCGACTCCGAAATAAAAGAAAATTATCGAAGATGACAAGATGTCTCTGGTTGAAATATCAGATAAATTGAAGGGATTATTGAAAATAAGAGAACATATTCTCTTATAAATATAAAAAACCATGCTTGCAAAAATCGATGAGACAAATACACCCAAAAGGACAAACAGCAAAAGTATGGGACAATGTCAAACCAAGGTGATTACACTGCCACTCAAAATTAACCAAACAAGCAAAATCTTGTTCAAATTAAATTTGAAATAACTTTTTAACCTTTGCAACAATTTCGTTGATTCTTTCGTCAATTTGTATTGTATATGTAATTACTGACTGGTAATTTTGCAAAAAATTGAAAAGGTTTGTTGTTATACAGGGTGTTTTTCCAGTCGTCCATATCCCAATCTGCAAGAGTTCGAGAAAATACCAAGCGATTCCTTCGATGACCCACATCCAATAGAGGATCTGTAGCAGGTGCTCAAGATGATAGGTTTCCTTCTCTCAACCTTCGGCGTACGCTATCAGGTGAAACTATGGTACCATGAACATCATCCAAACTCCCAGTCAAAGCTGTAGCAGGAACTGTCCTTTCTCGATGAGCTTGAAGTCTCAGAAACCGATCTTCAACTGCGTTTGTTGCTTTCCGTCTTCCCTGTCCAGGTATTCTTGAGTAAGCACCAGTGTCTCTAAATCTTTGTCTCGCATCGATTACCGTACTGCGTGGAACGGCAAGCCTTTCTGCGATATACCGAATGGGACGACCATCATCTTGTAAATCTATAGCTTGCGTTACTTATTCCGGACTCATTTTTGTTGAGTATTGCTTGACAACAATCTTTTTGACAAGCCATAAAAATGCTAACAGACACAGCCTACTTGAAACAATTTCTTCCCGGCAAAGCACAAGGGTGTTCAGAAGTTTAGGACAAAATGCACCTTTTAGTTACACCCTGTATAACAACAAACATTTTAAATTTTTTTGCAATATCGAAAAAAATAACGAAAAACGAAATTGATGAGGAGGTTAAAAAGTTATTTAAAATTTAATTTGAACAAAATTCTGTTTGTCCGATTAATTTTCCGTGGCAGTGTAGACCGATTTTGTAACATCTATAGATATAACAATAGCAAATATGCATACCATGCGCTATTTATGAAAAACAATTAGCCTTTATAAAATGTTGGGTCGCAGCGGTCCACTATACCGGTAAAAAAACGGATTTTATAAAAATTCATTCATAGAGACTACCTATACTTCCCTAACTGTCAGAAACGCGTTCTATTTACCTTTGCTTGTTATTGTCGAATAATTCGCTCACTGTGGATTCGATATTTGCTATAAAATCATGATAGCAAACACCTATTCCGGATTTAGTAACATTTAGCACAAAAAACCAAACCATCTCAAATTTATTATCAAAATGCTAAATAGATACGGCCATCAAATAAAATTGTTTCTGACATCGATGACAGCTTGAGATGACAGGTAGTTACCGCCTCTGTGAAACGCAAATGTTAAGTCCTCCCTTGAAGGTTCCTCAAGAAACCGCAATTGTTTCATTGTTTCCAATCAGATGTCTTTCTTCAAACTCTACTCAAGCCTCAAGCGAGGTCTATAAAACTGACTTTCAGAGTTAACCTGACGATTGAATTTGAGACGCCCCGTACACAAAGTCGTTTTCCGCTGCATTCCACCGCACATTTGACGCCGGAGCGTACTTCTCAATATGCGTCGGCGTCCCGGCGCTCTCAGAACTAATTGAACGTCGCCGGCCGTCTCGACGGATGTATCAACATTCCTCCTTTTACTCTTTCTTCCGTATGACCATTTAAACAAATTGCATTCTGTTATTTGTCAAGATGCCTTTCGTACATCCTTCAAGATAATTATATATATAGATAGATAGAGAGACAAAGACAGAGAAATAGATAGAGCGACAGAGAGATAGAGAGACAGAGACATAGATAGAGAGACAGAGACATAGATAGAGAGACAGAGAGATAGATAGATAGATAGGAAGACAGAGAGATAGATAGAGAGACAGAGAGAT